TATGATTAAAAGTACTAATATCCTTAAGGCTCGAGCAGGGGGGAGGCAAGAGTTGGAAGGAGTGGATGGAGAGGTAGAATCAATGATGATAGCCACAACACCCTCGAGCAGAGATGTGAAGACTCGCAAGAGGAAGAGAGAAGTGGAAGGATGGGGTAGTCCTTCAGTGGATGCTGTTTCGGAAGGAAACTTGAGAGAGACGGCGCCCATCGTTTTGGCCCGATGCAAGACGGCGGCATACAAGAACAGCTCGGAGCTCAGGAAACCACTTGAAGTAGAAAAGGAAATAGAGGTTTCCACCAGTTCTACGTCAGAAGAAGACTTCAAGCCTCAGAAGGTAAACGTGAAGAGAGGTTCAACGAACGGACAGGTAGGGGAAGTGGAGATCGGCAAAGAATGGATCTCGAAGGCACATCAGGACATGGGCAAACAAGTGACGAGTGATCCATTGGAGAGGAGCAAGACGAGGAACACTTCCCGGACGTGGTGGGTGGCCCTCGAAACATTGAAGGAAATGGAGGACTGCTTGAAGAAGTTGGATAGTGGAATAGCTCGCAGGCGACGCAATTGGGCCACCCAGCAGAAAGCCGAGGTTAATAAGATAGAGATGGTAAGTCATCTGAAGAGGTCCTGGCAGAGTTTGTTGAAGGATCATTTTGAAGAGGCGATGAGAACATCCTCATCAGCACCGCCACTAATGGCGAATCCCTTCGTTAGAACTGCGGGACAATTAATGTTCACCTGGAGTCTGGTGGGAATAGAGTTGGAGACATTGACCTCGTATGACAGGCTGAAGTTGGGAAGCAAGAAGCTAGAGGTGTATCAGGCACTGATGCAACACGTGGCCAGGGACAACTCAGGCTTGAGCCTGGCTAGGAGAAAAGATGCCACATGTTTCTTGAGATGGACAATGTCAATGATGTCTGATAGCACCATCCTGGCATGCCACCAGAGAGCAAGTGGAAGTAAAACCATGGAGAGAAGGGTCTCAACGATCATCTTGAACGTATATCAAAGTACAGGAATAGAGAAAGAAGATGGTTCCAGACTATCCTTAGAGAGCCATCGAAAGCTGGACGAGGTACGGAGGTTCTCTAATAAGAAGTTCGAGGAAGAACATGATGTTCACCGTAACCTGGCCTCGTCAGAACAGTACTCGAGACTCAGTGAGAAGGGGGAATACCAATACGTGTCTGGAGTGCTGGGAATAGCCTACAATCCCTTCTTAGACTCGGAAGCTGGAGGAGCCCACAGAAACCATGAGGTAGCGGAGCTGCTGAAGTTTTGGACAGGAAGAATAATGGAGATAGACGCGGTGGAGAAAGAGGGGCCGAGCCTGGGCCTGATTCTTGAGAAAACACCAGAGGTGATAAGCATGCCGCGCTCAAACAAGAGAGTTGAAGTAAACATGGGCGGTGGAAATGGCTTGTTAACCACGAACTTGGGAGTGATATGGAAGCTACTAAGACCCTCCTGGTGTCCACATCCCCATGCGAGTCTAATCGAGGAAACCACCGAGCGAGTGAGGTTAGCACCAACGGAAGATGAAGATCTGGCGAAGTTGAGTGTGCTGCATAAGTTAATCACGCCCCAGATGCAAGAGCCAAGCGAAAGGACGAGCGACCCCGGGTCAACAAAGAAATTGGAGCCGGGTAGCTGTCTGGATTCGACGTGTGGGAACGGAGAGCACATCTGCGATGGACGGTCATGCGTCAGAATACTGTCGTTTCAAAAAGAAGATCTGGTCACTTGGTTCGAAGACATCACAGAAAGGGAGAAAAGTGAAGTGCAAATAATAGCGGAATGTTACGCGAGAACCACGGTGAATATAGCGACAGCTCTCGGATTCTTCTCGAGAATGTGTGGTCTGCAGGCACTGGAGAGACTGGAGTCTGAACATCATTTAGTGACGGCGTTGAGCGTAGAATCATGGCCCGGGGTGTTGCAGGTGACTCAAAAACACATCCGGAGCTGGAAAGTTGGTCTTGAGGCGGAAATGGGATTTCCCCTGAGCGAAGCTTATGGCTTGCCATTGAACGCGAAATCACTGATAGGGTCAATGATGGCCAACTTGTGCGGAAGTCACTACCCGCTACACATGGCGATGGTGGAAGTGTCCAGCCAGAGAATACTGGTGGACAAGGCCTTCTCAGTGCCCAAGTGCGTGAGGTTGGCTCGGATGTCGCATCACTCGCACAAGTTGTTGAGAAAAATCAAAGGGACAGTACCAAAAGAATTGAGAGATGACTTAAGCGAAATCTGGGGAGAAGATCTTCTGAAGTTGGAAAGAGAAAACACAAGCGATCACGAGAGACAAAACGTGATCGGGAAACCTGTGGGAAGTACTCCGAACCTGGAAGACAACGACACGATGCACGAGAAAATGATGGAGCTTGAGCCTCTCTTGGAAGCCTCAGGGGAGCGTAATCTCAGGAGCATTGAGATCTCTCATGGGGAATGCCCATGCCACTGTTTGGCACAAACGGTGTGGTATCCAGATCACAAGAACCTTTGCCTGGTGTGGGATGTGGAAGAGATTCGGTCGATAGGACTACCGGATCACCGGCAGAAGGTGACGCTCTTAGTAGTGAGTACGATGTTAGCTCTGAGATGGATAGAAGAGAATATAACGAAGTATCGGGAGGCGACGACGCCAACGGCTGAGTCAATATACGCGATAGACTACAGCAGGAGACTTGAGTTGTTTGAGACTGCGTGCAAAGTATTCGCCATACCAACGGAAGTCAGGCACGTATGGAGTCGCTTGAGGTACTTTCCATGGTTTCGGGCGACACTGACGTCTTGGTTGTACAGGGCAACGAAAGATCACATGAGAAAACATCAAAAGGAGTATCGACAGTTCCAGGCCGAGATTGGGCCGGAAGCTTTCAAGAGACCCCTGCTAACCCATCGTAATGCGATCACGACGGGATGGAAGAGAGTGGGTAAGATGTCTAGAGACAACACCAAAGCGAGGGAGTCGATACTAGAGGAAGACCTGGCGAAGAACGTGAGCTTGAGCCTGCACAACTCCTTTTGCTTGAACCGAGAAGCTAGGGTGAAGGCACTACCCAACCAAGCAAAGAGATTGCAGGAGCAGAGAGAATGGATGCGATCCTATGAACAGCTGAAGGCTTGGGAGGAGATTGTGATTAGTTCCGATGATGAAGAGGAACTGTTGAGACAGTTTGCCGCATCTAGCACTTCAGGATGCAGTACCTCCAAGGCGAAGAGCACGAGATGAATGGGCAAATCGGATGGATCTTGAGTCTTGAGAGGGAAGGGGGGCTTGAGTGTGAATCCGAGTGAAACTTGGATTCACGAAAAAGAAATTTTAACAAAGTAAATATTGTTACTAATATACTATATCTATTATATAAATCAAAATGATGCATGACAATTTCCTGATTGAATAGGACAAAAGAGATTTTTAAATGATTGGCTTGAAAAGCGAAAATTCAAAGGTGCAGGTAAATGCAGATTTTGATTGCTGTTTAGCAATAGTGTGAAAATTTTAAATGGTCGTGAATTTTGGGGTGTAGATAATCTTAAATCTGCTGCAAACTTCTGTAAATGACCACTGGCACTGTATCTTGAGCAACACTCGGTTTTTCTGGGACTCACTGGCAGAAGACAGCGCGCGATGAGGACATCGATCTCGAGTCCGGGGAGTATGTGCCAGTCGGTCATATTTGGAAGTTTGACCTTGAGAAGAGCAGAAAATACTTGATTTTGAAGTGAAATTTAATTTTTCAAAATTTCGAATGGAACATGTCATGCACGATTTTCTCGCGATAACTGAAAATCAGAAAAAGAAATGAGAACAATTTTAGAACAATTGCGGGAAAGTTGTCAGATAAAAACGAGTGGGAAATTGCTATTCGCAATTTCCATCATAGTGAACAAGAGTAGAGCTGTCCTATCTGAAATAGAAGACAGAGTATTCCCGAGAGAGCAATTATTCGAACTGGACCAGAGTGAACCTTCGACGGAAAGGTGGACAGCTTGAGGGTCCCAATGGTCCACATAAAACTTCGTTCTTGAGTTCAAACTTACCCTTACCATTAAAACTGATAAACATTGAACTTATCTAGTTACTTTAGTTAATTCTAGAGTAGCTCACCCATTTAATTACTTCCTGTGCTTGAGCGCATCAACATGTGAGTCCTTAATTTAAATTTCTAGAGTGTGTTTTGTGATTGTTATGTTGAGGTAAGGCGAGTTTTAGGTTGATCCATCTGAAATGGATCAAAGTTCCACTGTCTAATAAAAAGTAACTTAACGGATTGTTCCAACCCGGTTTTTAACGGCGTTCATGTATTTTGGGTATCTAGAGACCTAAGTATGGGGACGTTTCTAATTCTAGAGTGGGGGGATATTTTAGTAGTAGCCTTTAAGCTGTAACGGGTCGTAGTCTCATGTTACAAGCGAACCGAACTGGCTCCGACCGTTCTTGAGGTGGAAAAACACAAGAGATAGTGTCCCTGACCCTTGAGCCAGTGGTTGTAGGGCCTATTTTTCTTGAGCCTCATGTGTGACTGTAGTAGACGAATGTTACAATGTGGTTGTGTTCGCATGTAAACGAAAGCTGATCAAAAGTCGTTTGACTGATGGCCTAAAAATGGTAACTTTTTACTTTGCCCTAAACAGACCAGAAAATCAACTGGCAAGGTCGAGACGGTGAAAAACGAGTAGGATTAAGGTAACTGACGCCTGCCAGTCGTTAATAGGTACTTTTTCTACGCTCCGTCGCTGTGTAGTATTTGGGCGAATGTTACAAGAAGCAATTGTGATAAAAAACAGTCCAAACTTGAAGATTTACCGAATTTAAATTTTTCGAGAAAGCCCATTGTAAAATTGAAAGTTTGATGGTGATTTTGATTGTCGCCCCGGAAATGTAAGAAAGTATTTTAGGTTTGAGTATTGTTAGTAGGGCGCCTTTAGGGGTGCATGGCTGTTGTTAGTATGGCTCCTAAAAGGGTTCATGGAGCCTATTATGGGTGCTTTTCAGGTGCCATGAACACTTTACCCCTGCATAATTTGTCGGGAGAGTTTTTCGTAGATGAAGTCTTCAACATGTGTTAGTATGGCTTTTCGGTGCTTTATCGGAGAAATTTATTTGTTGCATTTTTTTCAACGGAAAATTTAAAAAAATCAGCTGAATAACTACAAGTTTGATACCCTTTCTTATAAATACAAATTTGCAACAACTGATAGGAATGCTTACAGGAATGGATAAGGATTAGTTTCGAATGGTTTTAGCCTGTTTCGATTATGTGCCGGTTGTTGAGCTGCCTGAGATTGGGAAGCGACAGCAAGGGTACTTAACTCTGACAAACTTTAGACTGCGATTCCACAGGCAGCAGATCAAAGACAAAGAGGTGTCGAAGTGTGAGGTAAGTGAATCTACTCGAAAATTTGTTTTACGATTTTCACACCAAATAGAATAATTGCATTTCAAATGCCATTGCTTTTGCTAGTGCAAAAGCCAAATAATCTGATTATATCAGCTGATAAATATACGCTACAAGCTAGTTGTATCAATCGAACAGAGCCATTTTGTTGACCGTGCAACGTGTAATAAATGTTCTGATCATTTGAAAATGGAGGAGGAACTTTGTATTCGGGTGTGTTTGTTTAGTGTACTTTTCTGTTTTCCACGCAAAATCAGTTACCACAAGTAATTATACGACTGGGTTGCTATATATCATCTTAGAGCCTTTTCAGTCGTGATTCGAACGGCATTAAACAATTTTCAAAAATGTTCCTAGTGTCGAGAAAAACCGGATTGAAATTTTTGTCCTAATTTCGAGCTAAGAAGGTAAGCGTCCACGATTGCAATAACTAATTTACACTTAATTCAAGCCATAAAAATATAGTTTTATTTTAGTAAAGTTAGTTTGTGGAGTTTTAGGCGCCGTTTTGTGAATAAAAAATTCAAATAATTTCTGCAAAAAAGATCCTTTTTTACAATGTTTTGACGATTTTCTTGTAATTTTTCTCCGAAATCTGTTATGTATTAGTAATAGTAGTATAGGATTTAGAGCATCTGCTCTAGGGCTATTTAACTGGCCTATTTTAATATGACTGTCGAATTCACCTAATTTCTATTTTTTTCCGTTCAGATCTTTTTTCACACGACACTAGCCGCACGGCACTAATTTTCAAAACGACACTAATTTGACAAATTTTTTTTTTGCTTTTTTTAAGACTATCGTTGTAACATTCTGTGCTACTTAAACAGTTATCGGCTTTCCTTGTTGTTATAGCCCATCATTAATATTCCTCTCGGGTTCATCAGGGACTTTAAAGTTACTACAGCCTCGACTAACAACAAATGCGAGATAGTCTTCTATACCAGGGTTAGACAACGAGCGTATCTCAAGAAAGACTGAATTAAGACATCTCTCTTTTGCTGAAAATTGAGGTATTTCCGTTTCAGCTGATAGTAGATCTAACTTTTGAGATCAGACAAACACAGAAGAGTTCAGCAGAGGCAATGTTAATCAGCGGCGATAGTAGTGGCAACAATAAACTAACATGGAAGAACCAAAGGGACATTCTCATCAGGAACTTTGTTCAGCTTGCATTCCCCCTTGTGAGTGTTTCTCCTATTCTAGACATCATTTCAGTCGTCGTTCTAAAAAGCGAAATTGAAAAGTTTAATCTCTAATACATGTTGTTGATATGAATGACAAAACATTTGACTTATGTTCAGACTTGATTTAAATGATTGATATCTTGTAAATTACCGCAAAATTGTATATCCAAATTTCCAGAACAATGCTAACACATCATTAGACCAGTCTCTGTGTTTCTCACATCAAACTAAGCTATCGCGAAGGTACATTTTGGTACATCATCAGCGAGCCGTCATCAACTCAATCATAAGATGTATTCAGCAATCATGTAAAATTTCATCATTTCGCCAATCAGTGTGTCGCTTCAAAAATCTCTTGACATGGCTGGAAATAACGACGATCTTTACAGAAATCCCAGCATGGAAACATATAAAAGAGTAGCTCCTCCAGTGTCTCAAGGGTAGAAGCGGTTCGCTCAACGCCGCCTGAAAAATCAATTGGCTTCTTGGGAAGCTCTAATCGATCCTGTAGTAGGACTATGTGATCGTCAAGGATCCAATTTCTGAGAGTTTGAAGTCCTTCAGTTCGACCAGTGATCTCTACGTAGGAGCTTTGGAAGGCGAGGAGCTGGAGATAGCACTTGACACATGCTCCGAACTGTCATCCAAGACCACTGAATTGATTGAAACTTTTGCATTCATTTTTTGTTCCTTTTTTAATAGTTAATAGAAAATAACGTAAAGGGATTTTTCTTATGCCCAATTGCTCCTGTAGGATATGCAGGTTGTTTGGGTGCAAAATTGTAAGCAAAGTTGTACAGTACATTTAGGAACATTTGGATCTCGGTGTTTTGACCAACCATTTTTTTTATCGGTTCTACTATCGGTTATGAGCAAGAAAATAGAGTTAATATATCCCGAATCCTCTTTATATTGTTAGTAATTGATTTTTATACTGCAAAAAACCTTGATTTTTTAATCCTTCGTTATCTCAAATAGAATTTATTCGAGTTTTTCACCTTTCATCTGAGACATCTTTTGATGCTCGGCTTTTTATTTTGTATCTCAAGTGGTGCGAAGCTGTGCGTTTTGACCTGACCTCTGCGTTTCCTCTCGGCTTAATAGCAAGTCATACCATTCTTACCAAGAGTTGCTTCTCGTGTATCCAGCTGCTACACATAGCTCGACAAAATACAAAACAGAAAGAAAGGCTTCAATATTGGAATCTTGTTTTTTAAAGCATCCTGTGAGTTATGGTCCATCTCAATGGGTTAGGCGACGCATCGTAAGAAACATTGACAAACACCAAACGTTTGCTCTGGCTGCGAATTATCGCATTCGCGCGTAAAGGCAGACAGTCTAACGCTAGATGTGTCATATGTAGGATCAGGAGAACTTCGATGACTGTCGACTGTTTGCCTACCTACACAAGAAGGACAGTGAGCCAGACCCTGGCTGGAAGTATTACCAGGGACTGCGCCAGGAGTACAAGCGCATCCTGGACGAGCAGAAGAGCCACTCGCAGTTCTGGAGGGAGGAGGACAACCTCAACTACAACATCACAGAGACATACCCCGAGTTTGTACGTACTATCATAGCCATATTTGACAGACTCTTGCAGCCCATAGCAATTGAGTTCAAGTCTATTTTGTTCGAAAAGACATTTTTAGGATCAATTCAAAACTATAATGCTCAGCAGAGGAACTACATTAGTGCGAAACAGAAGAAAGATTTTCGTCTGCAAGAATTGAATGGGGGTTGCTGATGGCAGCGGAATAAAACAATCTTGAGGTCACTGAGAGCTTACCGAGGTATTTGCGCTGTTTAGTTTTATGTGCCGAGCAAAGTGAAGCATGAAGAGCTCAGAGCAGTGAAAGAATTCCGAACAAAAGGTAGAATTCCGGTGAGTCATGTTTGCATACCCTGCTCGCTAGCTAAACTAGTCTTAATGTTAATGATTCATGACATTGTCCCACTCATTTCTGGTGTAGTTAACAGAATGATTTTTTGCGATTTTGCTCCAAAAATGGGGAGGAATTTTGTATTCGGGTGTGTTTTAGTTTCTTCTTTTTGAGCATAATGAACGTAGTGAAGATCTCCTATTTCAGTTTTGGTGATTTTTTTTGGGTTTTTTTTTCATAGGAATAAGTTTCAAACATGCTCTAACAACAACAGATATGCTTTCATTACACCTGCGAAGCGAGTGTATTAGTACGAACCTTCTTTTTTCCAACCTAAGTCGAAAATATTGGTGCGGCACCCCAGTAATAGTGGGCACCTTTACCGTTTTTTGATAGCATGCGTTTTGACATCCAAATAGTAGTAAGTTAACACAGTTGATGCATTTTTAATTATTCAAATGAACCGAAAAAAGTGATGTTTCAAACAACATAACGATAAGGAAAACTCGATTTTAAAATGTTCCAAGTCAATATATCGCAATTTTTTGAAATCGTTCATGCTTTGCGATTTGTTACATGCAAAATAAATTTGGATGCCTTCAGTTTGTTATATTCCAAATTATTACATGCAAAATGAGTCTATTTGTATTCGATGACACTTTTGCTGAATGGCATTGGCAAGTTAAATATTAGCATATGTAGTTGATTATTCGTGACTATTCGTGTTTGTCGGTTGATAAGCTTGAGTGGCTGAGTGGATATTTCGTGAGACTCAAAATCGCGTGATTGCAGTATGTCGCAGATTCGAATCCTACACGTAGCCGAGTTTTTGCTTATTCGAGGCTTATTGCTACCTTTTCTCATTTCACTTGATAGAGCTGCTTTTTGGCAGTGTTCTCGCAATTGTTTGCGAAGCGCAGCGTCGCCTCTGTTACTCTTGCGATAAGCAAGGGTTTTACAATTGGTTACTACACTTTTTTCCCATAAACAACTTTATGCACAGGATGACTGAAATTTGGTCATAGTTTCTTAGATGTAAGTTTATTTTTTTGTCGGCTTTATTGATTTCGACCCATTTTTTGTCGGCTTACTTGCAAGGTAGTTAATTCCGTAATTTTGATACTTTCTTCTTAATTTTTGAGGGTGATTATAGTTCACGGTTTTCTGTTTTTTATAGGCGCCAAAATTTTCTCTTAGAAATAAAACTGAACTTTTCTGCCAGATTTTTTTTTTGCAAGTAAATTTTCAGTTTTTTTTTGGATGTATGGTTTCTGATTTTTTTTTGTTCTAAAAGAACATGAAACTAATTTTAGTTTTAATTAGTTAGGTGAGTGTTAGGCTCAAGCAATATGATTTGAAATCGATTCAAGTTGATGGTGTAACGTATTGTTTCAATTTGTCAAAAAAAATTTCAAAAGAACTGATAGTTTCAAGATTATTTCAAACAAATTTGACTCAACTTTTTTTGTCTACAAAGGAATGTTGTGGCAAGTTCTGCACGAGAGTTAGGCTTGTGGTTCTCTCTGGCTGAAATTTTTGAAAATCTTTGCATCATTTTTTTGTTGTGATGTAGCTCTTGTACCGTTGCGTATAAATTTCATAACTGATAATTCTTGATCTAATTGAGTGGTTACCTGATTTTCATAAGTTTTCGAGTTTTTTTCAGATTTTCTGCTAGTTCTTTTTGCGGCAATTGTTTGAAATTTTTCGTGTGGTTGAAATTTTGTTTTTCGTTTTTTTATTTTGATTTTTTATTATAGCGGATAGAGCTTTTATAATCGATTGTTCTTATTGGATATGCAGATTGTTTGGTTGCAAGATTTAATCAACAGTTTTTGAGTACATTTAGGAATTATCGTGTCTCAATTTTTTGACCGAAATATTTTCTTATCGTTTTCATCTATTGGTTATAAGAAAGAAATGGATGGAGTTAAGCCCAAATCTTTCTTTTGTTTTGAAGGTAATTGACTTCTTTAACAAATGTAAAATTTTTTCTGGTTTTTGAGTCTACGATTTCTTCAACAAAATTGATTCATAATTTTGATTTTGGTTTAAGACACATTATCTTTTGATTTTGGAGCTTTATTGTGTATCGCAAGTGGTGCGAAGCTCAGCGCCTCTGTGTACATTTTAATGCACTAATGTATATATGCTTTTTTGAGTTCAATTGAAATTCATTCACCGAAAGCTACCTAAATACCCCTCTCCAAATACAAACGTTGAAATTGTGCGAAGAAATGTGAACGATTTCTAGTTTTGAAAGTAGAAATTAATTTGACTTAAATTGACTTAAAATACAAGAGTGAATACAAGAAACGACACTAATTTGACGAACTTTTATTTGTAGCTTTGATGATTATAGTCGGAACATTCTGTGCTACTTGCCCCGCAACCAGCTATCCTTGTTTCATCTTTGGAATGGGTTGTTGGTAATACTTTTTACTAAGCGGGGATTTGTAACTATCGCACCGTCGTTCGTAGTATATAATCACTAGTCACGTTCTTGCTGACTAGCTCCTTGAACTTCTCTACGTATTGCATATCTGCATTCAGGTGCTAAGTTGGTGCCACCCTACGAAGGGATCTGTGATTGCCAGAAGTAGCCAGCCGAGAACTGGGGTGGGACACTGGAACTCATCCACGGCAGACCAGAGCTACATTGAAGCACTGCGGGACTCCAGTCTAGCCGAGCAGCTGACCATCGCGGACGCCAGACCGAAAAAGAACGCAATAGCTAACATGGCCAGAGGGGGAGGCACTGAAGCAGGAATGATAGGTACGAAATTTTTTAGATAGGGCTACTCGACGGGCCTGCAATTGCGAGTCCCTATCTATAATTGCGAGTCCCTAAAAGTTCGTCAAAAGCAAATGAAGTGAATAAGAATTTTATGTCGTTGCTTTTAATAGGCAAGAATCAGACAGGATACACAGCCGAGGGACGCCTCACAAATGTCAAATTCTTTGAGATAGACAACATACATGTAGTGAGGGGTTCCTTTGAAAAGCTTAAGAACCTGCTGAGTTGTCCAGTACATAACGACTTCCACGAGCGACTGGAAAAGACTGGCTGGCTAGCATACATCCAGAGGATCCTGTTCGCAGGAGTGGCCGTGGCTGAAAAGATAGAATGTGAGTCGCAGTCTGTGTTAGTGCACTGTTCCGATGGGTGGGACAGAACAGCTCAGATAGTGTCTCTGGCCATGTTGATGTTGGATCCATTCTACAGGACTATGGAGGGATTTGCTACATTGATTGAGAAAGAGTGGACTGCTTTTGGTCACAAGTTTGCTGAGGTAAGTTTAGACTGGATAATGAATTGAATAAGTTGTGTCATGATTCTCTGGACTTTTTGAGTTATGACAGGGGTGTATAACTCATAGAGTAATTTCGGATAGGGTACACCGTCTGCTCGTCACGCTATCTTATTTTCGGCCGGATAGATTCGTGCAACTTCTTAGTCTAATACCGATCCTAATCTTACTCTTATACTATCTAGTCTCAGGTTGTTTAACTAGTCTCTGCTAGGCTCAATAGATCTAGGGTATACTGGTTTATTGCGGCTGCTGAAGTGCTCGGGAGAGTCCAACTAATTTCTAAGTTAAATTCAAATCTCTCTGGTGCTGAAATTACAAGTAACTTCAGCACTTACAAATAAGTGGGTTGTTAGTTAGATGGATCATGATTGGTTAATATTAAATACTTTACATTGGTAAAACATTTAATTTATCCAATCATAAAATATAGTTTAGATCAGGTTCCACCCATCCGGGTTTTACAGTGTTTTTTAGAACAGTTCTTCTGTAATTCAAGGATGGATGATGGACGTTGGTATTTGGCGAACATCATATTTCTTTTGTTTCCTTTTTGTTAAGGAAGTTCCAGGGAGCTGGAGTTAGGGACATAAGACGTTGTGTTCTTCTTGTGACAACGACTGAGTCTTTGCAACAGCATCAATTCTGGTTTCAGAATGGTTGGCTATGTCAGGTTTTTCTGTTCTTCGGAGAGAACTTCTTTAGTGTCTGATCTAGCTTGGGAATGGCGTGGAGATTGTGCGTGGAGGGGATGCCTGGTTACTCGGATCTGTACGTATACTTGAACATCGAGGTGGTCATTGGTCTAGTTCAATGAAGTCCTTTTCTGCGAAGTCAAGTCGTACTCTAAATCCTTTGAGTTGTGATTATGAGCGGCATATCGATTGTAGTTGGTTATTCTCTCTCGAGTGTAGTGAGGTCGTCTTGTCTTTTGATGTTCGTCCTTGGTGTTGTATTCTGATCTATATATTGCATCATGTGATTTTACATTTTATAAAACTTTTATTAGTTTAGTATTTTTTAATAATGATTTTAGTTAGTTGTTTTCACAAAAGCTTTTTTGTTTTAGTTCGGTTATTTTGAAGAGTTACTCACCCTTGAGTAGCTCTTATTAAAAATAAAGGTGTGGTCACAAAGCGTGGATGTAGCGCGGTGGGTTAGGCCGGCTATAGAGCATGCTCAGGACGTCCTTTCCTGGTGGGTTAGGCCAGGTGTGGGAGTATGATTTCATGCGGTTTTTGTGAGGGGTCCTGTTATGTGACAACGTTTTATGTTGGGTTTGTTGTGGTTTTACTTATGTTTTGTTGGTTATGTACTTTTACTAAAAAGCAAATTGTTTGTGGTATGGGTTTGTCTTTCGACTTTTTTGTGTTTTATTATTTCTTTCTAAGACTTTGTAATAGTCTTCAAAAGAATAAATTATCCAGTTTTAAACTGGGTTAATCCGGTTTGGGTACCGTTGGTTTCCTTTTCTTAGTCATGCTGTTATTTTATGATTTGTGGTATTTAGTAAGCTGCGTTGGTTAGTTTTGTTTAGTATATGATTCCTTTCCAACCGGGTTAAAGGAAAGTTTGAAACATGTTATTATATGTTAGAGTTGTTGAGTGTGAAAACTTGAAACTGAAATTCATTATTTTAAACAATTCTTCGTGGGCGAGCTGTGCGAGTGTGGATAGAATTTCTGTGCGAATGAATGAAAATATCAAAAGGTTAGTACTGCAATTGCATTTTATTAATTTACTGCATAGAATTTGGAAATTTACTGCTAGTTATGGGGGAATTTTAAGATACAAATTTTCATCATAATTAGATTTACTGCTTTTGGGGGAAAATTTTATAAATTAATTTACTGCATTGGTATTATATGTATTTAATTGTTGGTGCAAAGGTTTAATAGAGTCTTAAACAGTTTTGAAGAAGTTTCCTATTTTTTATTTTTCTTTTGTGAATTTTTCAGATGATCGAAGATGAAGGCTAAAAATCTAAAGAAAACATGAATAAAGAATGGTGAGTTTTTTAATATTTTAATTAGTTAGTAATACTCATTTAATTCATACTTACCTGTTAGTCGTCGGGGAAAAAACCGTGGGGGAAGATGTCGTGAATTAGTTCTGAAGTTGTTAGTAGTTTAGCTAAGATGCGTATGATATTTTTAGTTTGAAGCAGTGGCCAAAGCAATTGAAGTGCCTTAATAGTGGTTAGTTCTTCAGTGCCAACTGCAAACTCATAAGGTGTGTTTTGGATTAAGTTATATAATTTGTGGTTAAATTTAGTGTTGTGGATGAATTCTAAAATGGGGATTTCTATAGGCTGTACAAACTCGTGCGGGATAAGGAGGGGTCGGGATTCTTCAGCGTTGAAGGTCTTGGTGATGGGGCAGAAAATGTACATTTGGGTTATGGGGTCATAATTACGGAGAATACCATGGAGGTTAGTGTCTTTAATACAATATGTGAAATTTAGGAAATACGGTGAAGTGTATTTTGAATTGATGAATTGGAAACGATGGTGTGATTGTCTAGAGGGTGTGTGGAGGTCAAAGTGATTTTGGATGAAACGATAGTAACTGTATGTATGTGTTTGTTTAGTTCGCAACATAATATCGTGTGAACAGTGTAGATCTCTTTCGTGTGGTGCAAGGAAATGAAAGGTTAGTGAAAAGATTTGGAAGCGTTCTTTAAAACTTTCGTATGCTTGTGTGCTTGTTAGTGCTTCTGAAATAATGTGATCAAACTTTCGGTCGAAGATGTTTAGTGTAAATACATATGGTGTCTTGATGAAAAATTTCTCGGTGATTTGTGGGTTAGCGAAGCGGTCTTCGTCTAAGAATTGATCTTGGTTAGCTCTGATGATGTTGTGATCGTAGTATTCTAGTGTATATTCATTAGCTCTAGGTGCAGTGTGTATTTTTAGTGATTTTTTATATCCTACGTAAGTAAACTGTCTAGCGGTGAGTGGTGTAGTTAGTCGATATAACATGTCTTTGTTTCGGTCTATATCGATGGAAGTGTTGGTTAAAGGTAAGCAAAGAGGGTTAGTGAAATGATAATATGAGGTCCAAGAGAGAGTGGGCATTAAAATGTATTCATCTACAAAGTTGCGTGTTTCGTTAGCGTCATGAGGGGTGTTTAAGGTGTATTGTGGAAATGAGGGTAAAGTGATAGCTAAAAATTCTCTAGTGTTAGTATGCTGGGGGTGGTTGATGTATTCACGGGCTGTTCCTGGTTTTGCTGGGAAAGGATGGTTGGGGAATTTTCTTTTAAAAGTGCGGTAAGCTCTATTAGTGTTGAGTGAAGATATAGTGGATGTGGATGATGGTGTTAATGATTCAGTATAATTTGAAGAGGGTGTAGGGGGATTGGATGAATTTGGAGTGGAGGAGATTTGGTTTATGGTCGGAGTGTTAAGGTGGTAGGGTTGTTGTTGGAGGGTAATAAAATTGTCTAGCTCTGGGGAGATTCGGGGGGTATCTGGAGATGATTGGTCAGAATGGTATGAGGAGTAGGTTGGGGTAACTTGGGAAGCATAAGAGGGTGTGGGAGTGATTGGGTCAGGGTTATTTGACAATATGGGTTGAAAAGGAGGTTGAGAAAAATGAGAAGGGTTATGGAAATTATTGGATGGAGATGGTTCTGAGTCGGCAAATTCATCGGGGGTTTCAATATTCGGGTTATTTAGCTGTGAGATGGAGTATAAAACTGAAATATGTGAGTTAGTGTCGGAATTCATGCCTGATGTTACATTGCTAGGTGGAAAATCGGGTGGCGGAAAAGCAAAAAGTGGTATTATTGGGATTGAAGAGGTAAGGTTGGTTGGATGGGAATTTGATCGATGGAGTGATCCAAGTTGGCGGCTCATCGTGGGCTAAAAAAATTATTATTTTGAGATTGAAAAGCGGTGGTATGGGGTTGTTCAATAATTTGTTCATAAGTATTATCATCGTGTGATTGATGTGTCATTATATGTTGTACGGGACTTTGTGATGTGGTGAGTCTAAAATTTGGATTATGTGTGATTGCTAAATTTCGAAAATTTCGTGGGACTAGGGATAGTGGATGGTTATTTGGTAGGGGTGGTAGTTGTGGTGCCGTTGGCTGTGTGTCGACATTGTTATGTTCTTCGTCGTATGTATTTTGTCGTGTTGTTATTTTTGTGTTATATTCTTTTATTTGTGCGTCTAAAAGAATTTTGTTTATAGATGTGGAAAAAATTCCAAAAAATCCTGCAAAGAGTATGCGTGCTACGCTTGCTTGTCTGTTTACTTGTGTGTGTATAGCACATGTATTGTAGATTCCTTTTAAGAGTGAGAAAAGAAATCCAATAAAGTTAAACATTGCGTATAAAATAGTCAATTTTTCTAAGATGTAGTAGGGCCATCCTAGAAAATCTAGGATCTCATTTTTGAGTGTAACAAAGCTAAAAATGTTGATTGGTGATATATCTTGGGGACGGTATTTTTCGCCGTTTAGATATATATAATCTTTAATGTCTTTAAAATATCCGCTATAGTCTTGCGTGTAGATATCGGCAAATCCTGCGGTTTCTGCAAGTTTGCGTAAATTTTGGTCTATTGATTGTCTTTGTATAGTGTCCATTTGTGTTAATAATTCTTGGAATTGTTGTGTTCTAATGTGATGTTGAATATCTGATTTTGAATAGATTCCTATTGATTGTAAGTCTATATTTGGGTTTCGAGCGATAGCGCGAATGCTTTCTGGTGAAAATTTTTTGAGTGATTGCATTAATGTGGGGTATGGAGTGAGAAGATAATATTTATTTTCATCAGGGTTTAGTTGTACTACATTGTGGCTATTTTCTGATCCACATGGGACTGCGGTATCCCAGAAATAGGTTCTTCGTGAAAGTGTATCCACGAAATGTACTTTATTCTTATAAAAGATAGGGATTCTTTTATAACATCGTTTATCTTCAAAAACGTATAGTGGTGATACTTTTTTAGTACAAGTATAAAACCATAAGA